ATATCAAATTATCCCATTAACCCATATCGATAAGGTTTAATCAAGCCAACACATTCGGGGATATGAGCACTGTTAGAACTCAGAGTAAAAGAAAAACAAGGATATTTTATACTTTTTTAAAAATTGTGAGGGTTCATAACACAACAATAGACAAACTAAGAAATAAAGGTTACTGTACTAAACGAAGGTAGTAGAAAGTAGAAAAAATGCTAGAATTTTGCTACTTATTTATTAAAAAAGTTTATTAACGAAGATCGTAGATATTATTTTATAATTATAAATATAATAATAGCTCCCGTATATAGCGTTTAACGCCTTGGGAGTAGCAAGGTACAGCTTGCTATACTAGAGCTGTTCGGTATAGAACGAAGGTAATGTGACTAGCACTACGCTTCAACCGCCTATTATTACCTCAAGATTGTGAATCCCAAGTACTCATTTAAGGCTGAGTCGACCTAGGTACCCAAAATATTTTTATTTTAATAAAAATAGTGGGCTGATGCAATGCCGGGCGTGGGAATCGAACCGACACCTTCAGATTGGTAGACGAGAGCCTGTACCTCTACGCCACCGGGCACCTATTTTTTATTTTATAATTATAACGACTATAATACTACCATACTATCGAAAAAAACGGCGTCAAAGATGAGTGGACAGAGAAGGAATATTTTTTTTTGGAAATAGATATGTTTGTCTGGAAACGTTTTATCATTTTTTAATCTTTCTATAATTATTGTTAATTTTTTACAGTTTATGTCAAATTTATGTTTTTTTTTAATTTTATGTCAAGTTTTATGTCAATTTTTAGTAAATAACGTCTAGAGATTGACCTCGCCAAAATTATTATCGATGGTCATTCCCCAGCCGTCTTTTTTTCTTCTTAAGGTGCCGTGCAGGTTCCTGCCCCTGCGTAGGCGTTCATCTTTTTCTTCCTCATCAGAAGGTTCTATTAACTGGAGCGACTTGGAGTGCTTGGAAGTCCTGTAACGTTTTTAGTTCGTTACATGTATTTTTTATATATGATTTATATGATGTCTGGCGTATCGTCATCGGATTCCGTATCGTTCAGGCCTGATCATTTATTTGGCACGCTTAGCGTAATTTTTACTTCCCTAGTCGCCAACCCTGCTATCGTATCACTGTTCTGTGGAGGCGCACGCTGTCAAGATCCTTGTTATATGTAGAAGTTGTGGTAGAAGTGTCTAGTCCTAGCAGTCAACTTTTAAGCTTGACCAATCAGGTTGGTTAGCGTGGTTATTTGAAGGGTGTTAATTCATTTGTGTTAGTCAAAAACTCTAACGTGATTGGTCGAGCTTAATAGTTGCTTGCTAGGGCTAGACACAAGTGTTATATGTCAAGGCGCCTCTCTGCGTTTTAACCTCACTTTGTTTCTGGGCGGTTGCGGCACGGTTGCAAATCCTGCTTTTAGAAATGGTAATAATTTAAATCTTGCTGCAAAATCTGAATCAGCTGCCATTTCGAAGCAACAGGTAAAGATGAGATATTATCTTTATTAGATTCGTTATTATTATTGAATATTTTTAGGGTAGAGTTTTTGGATTGACCCACCTTAACTCGTATTTGTATTTTGCTGGCACATTGGTGTTCTTTTGCTTTTGTCCTCCAGAATGTTACATGGAAGAAAGGACAGTTTCTTTGTTTATTATTGAGCCCTCGGAAGTAATTCGAGGTAGGTTCATTTTGTTTATTAGACCTTGTTTGATTTTAAACAAGAGTTTCGTATTTTTAAGGTCTTATGGACGGACTGTGTCCAAGGTACGGGTAGTGTTCCCCTGTACCGTTATCTTATGGACGGACTGTGTCCAAGGTACGGGTGGTGTTCCCCTGTACCGTTATCTTATGGACGGACTGTGTCCAAGGTATGGGCAGGTGTCCCATATCTATGTATTGATTCCAAGGTTCGGGCATTATCCAAGGTCCTAGTAGTGTTCCAAGGTACGGGTAGTGTCCCCATATTGCCACAGTATGGATACAGCGTAAGCCCCATGCTGCTTCGCTCCCATATCTAAGCCTAGTCAGTAGCTACGGCTGTATTGATTCATGGTGTCCTCATTCTGGCTCCTTTTGTTGTTTTGGCCAACAGGATCGCCGACAGACAGTACAGAGATGCGAGACCACCTCACGCTGTTACTGCTTGAAGCAAGATTACATAAAGAACAGCTAAGTGTAGATTTAAGTTCTAGTTTTACATTTAACATTTAAAACATTTTCAGTCTTAAACAATAACGTACATCTTAAGTAATATCGTACAGACTATGTTTAGTGGTTAGATTGTTAAGAACATTCATGTCGATTTAATATTTAAAATATGATTTAGATCTTAGGTTTCATTACATTACGTCTTGTAATGGTATTACTTTCATAGATATTTAGTACAACTCTTAACACCATTTTTTTACATATAACCACTATATATTTATTAGAATTCTACAGTGTCATATACCAGCAAAGAACATCATGAAATATAGTCATTAGTTTTAAGTAATATACAACTGTGTTTTCTTTCTCTGTACATGCCTGGCGCCCAATATCTGTATTTTTTGTTTATTGTTATTGATTGGTTTTCTCTCTAGTGAAATACCTTATCCACGACTGCTCTCCGATGAAAAGCTGCCGTTCGCAGTGGTAATGTTTTATAAAAAACGCTACAGTCCTGTATGCCTGTCCAATGACGAATATTTTTCAGCCAGGATAGCTTCCTTCGGCCTATTCCCCTTTTGCCCCCCTCTATTTTACCCTGGAGAATCAGACGCTGAAAGTGAAAGTGAGTTCTCCACGTAGTATGTGTCCCAAATAGGCTATTTTCCTCTTCTTGATGATTTCGAAGAGTTCACGTTATTTTAGACCAGCTCTTCTGAGAATGTCTTCATTCCCCACACGGTCGACCCAGGGCGCCAGGGCACTCTTAGCATTCGTCGTAGGGTTCACATTTCGAAGGCTTCAATTCGGTTTATTGTTGCTACCTTCAGTGTCCATGCTTCCACACCATATAACAAAACGGACCAGACATAGCACTTCACCATTCTGTATCTAAGGCCGAAGTTCAAGTTCCTATCTGAAGGAAATCTTCGCAGTCTCAGAAAGGTAGATCTTGCTTGTTCGATCCCGCATTTGATCTCCTGATCTGGATCCCACGTTTCGTTAACCATGCATCCCAAATATTTAAATTGTGTGACCTACTTGATGACCTCTCCATTTAAGTAAATTCTGGTGTTCGGAATATTGTTTCTGCTAACAGCCATAAATTTACAGCCAGTTTAGACAGTTTAGACAGCTGCCTTTTAATAATTATTTTCGCCACTTTTATATTTAATGTTTTGGTTTCGGTTAACTCAATTTGATTTATCAACAACACAGTTGTATATTAACAAGATAAACTTGCATTTTTAAGTTTTTTTGTGCAAATGTTTTTACTTCATTCGAAAAAATGACACTCTGAATAGAATGACATGTCATATTTCAACTTTTGACATTTTCGCATATGGTATATTTGTAACAGACGGTTTATAACGACAAATTGACTCCAAGTGTGTGGTACCAAATTATTCGCAAAGATACGTTTTTTCTAAATATGCTAATGAGCCACCCTTGTTCCATTTCAAAAAACTAAAATATGATTATAAATACGATTTGGACATTTTTTAACCGACCAGGACAAGACACGAAAAACATTAGACGATCAAATTTATTTTTCCAAAAAATGTCTATATCTATGTGGCGGATTCATCTCTCCAAAAAAATCCTTTTCTCCAATTTTTTTGTATATTATATTTTTTTTTCTAAGGCTCCTTGATTAAAAATTAGTATTTTTAACACAGCCCACTCTAGATTGAAATTTAAAATACGAATTTTTTAAACAAAAATGTCAAATGTTGACATAATATGATATGTCATTCTATTTAGAGTGTCATTTTCTCTCGAATAGAGTAAAAATATACCGAGGGTGCCATTTAAAAATAAAAAGTTGTAGTCATTTCCGTTGAAACAGGAAGTGAGCAAAAACAGTTGGATACGTCAATCAGTTCTAATTTATGTCATATACTAACATATTAAATCTCTTTTTTTATCTAAAAAAATAAAAAGTTATAGGAGTGAGCCACTTTTGAGACGTACCCGGTATACGAGTATTTTTATCAAAGTAAGACAGAACTTCTGTGTGATCAAAAAAATAAAGTGCATGATTTGTTGAATATACAAAAAAAAATAAAAATAATCTTACACAAATTCGGTTCGCTCGGTATATTGTATTTAGGGTTTCTAATTTTCGGGACTGGGATTCCGTTTTGAACTCCTGGAATAAGAACCCATAATCCCAAGATCCCGTGATTGACTATCAGAATAAAAAAATTGATCTAAATAAATACAGCTAAAAATATGCAGCTAAAAGAAATACAGCTAAAATAGAACTAAAAGAAAGCAAAAGCTTTATTAAAATAGACAAAAAACAAAGTAGGTAATATTCATATTTAATAATAAAAAAAATCAATTCCTGTTGCAAAAAAATATAGCGAAGACGGAAATATAACTTGTAGATATTGACGTTCTGCTGAGTATTAATAAAATATGATCTTTGAAAGACTAAAGTGTATAATTTCGAATCATTTTAGATTGGGCATTTAAATTTTTCAAGATTTTCAGGATCCCGGGATTTAATATCGGGATTTCTGGAAACCGGGATCGCTCTTCGGAAACCCTAATTTTATCTAGATCAAATATATAATCTATGATCTAAGTACGATACATATGATAGTATACTAGTCTGTTAGTAAATAAAGATATTCATTTATTTCACACTATAAGATGACAGATAACGGCGAAATTAGAGAAGAAAGTGTTCTTCTAGTATAATTAAACTGAATATTATAGAATAACAGAATCATTATTTATCGCTCTGAGGCACAAGTGTGTCATGTTTCCGACAAAGGGCGTGAAACAAATTGCTTTTCTGTGTTATTATCTTTTATCTTTGTCGTACTTACTTTGGCTGGATATTTTCCCAATCGTTTTTCTTTCTTCGGGGGCGTGTTTTGGACAGTGGATTTCTGGCCCGCACACAGGGCGATAAACACTACCAGCACCGTCGTGGTCCTGCAACAGATTACGTATTAGTACGGAGCTTAATGCTAATGGTTATCGTACATGTCACAGGGTGTAGTTTATTTGTTAGGATATCGACAACTCCAAAGATAATTGAAGTTACAAGTAGCAAAAAATCTACAGTATGTGCCCTAGTAGTCTTTACAAGACGATTTTTAGTATTGAAAATACTTCTGGCCGCGTTTATATGGGACCCATCTTTGAAAAAACGACATGCTAGAGCCGCATGGGTTCGATAACCTGCCTGTCAACACGTCGATAGTTTAGCCGGCGTTATAGGAATATGGAAAAGGGAAGGTCGTTCGAAGGCCGAAATGAGGTATAGGTCGTAAATAAAATGAACCATAATGTTAAAATACGCTTCGAAGTGTTAAAAGTGTTGAAAATTGATTAAAATCTGTTAGGTTTAAGATATTGGTGAGTACTTTTTGAGTTTTAAGTCAAGTATGTAGGTGAGAAAAATGTGATTTATTCGATTGTATAAGCCGTGAAGCTAATAGGGTGTCTGTTATATTTCATGAATAGGTATTTCATTTTATTTTGTTCGTAACTGTGGGTCTTGTAAGCTCACACTGTATTCGTAAACAATAAGGTATTATCCTTATTATGGTACTTACGCTTAATTTTATATGTATGTATATAATTTTGTATTCTCTGTTTAAGGTATTTGTACACAATTTTTTTATATATTTCTTAATTATCATATTATTTAACAGTATCAAAAGTAATGTTGCCTCCCATTTTTATACAGGGCGGTAAAGTTTTCAGGAAAATCATTTTTTTTTATAATAACACTGATACTATTTTAAATATCTTTATAAAATTTAGTACACGTCTTCCATGTATCAAGATGTATTTTTTCATATACAAACAGTTCTGTAATTTTTATTTCAGTTACGTCCTTACGGGATTGGGTTAGTTAATTAAATTTGATTTCTTGATTTTTTTGAGTTTTATAGCGAAGTGCTGTAGACTCTAAATCGATACATATGATAATATTCTTTTTTCTCCGAAATTATGGAATTGTCTAGTTGTAAAATTTATTGATTTTAGTATACTTTAGCTGTTATTAATATAAGTTAAAAAGACGCTAAATTCTTTATTGCATTTTTTAATTGATTAGCAATTTCTTTAATTTTATCCAGTGTGTAAGCCGCCAATGCACATGTCATATTTTGCACCCATAGCTCATATTTGTATTTTACCACATTTTAAATTTATATGTATGCATGTATGTTATTTTTGATCGTAATATAATATTTGCTAAACATTCTATCACGTTTTATGTATTTGTATATTATTTTTTATATCTCCCGTAATTTTCACATTATTTTACAGTCGACATCAAAAATAATGTTGCCTCTGCACTTTGACGTAATATACGTATAAGTATTTGTTAAAACAATACTCGCCTATTTTATAAACAAAATTACTTGAAAAAAAGATACTTATTTGGCTTATTTAGGTATATCCACTAATTTACTTGCACTTCGAAGTAAAATTAATTTTCGAAATACAAGACGTTTTTGAAAATGAAAATATCTAAGCACCTCTCGTATCCCAACGATCTCATAACTTATCGAAAAGGTAAAAACTAATGGTCGTGTAAATTTTGAACCTATTGAATTATGCTAGAACTGCTTTTCCCTTGTAAATTATAACATTTAAAACTTAATTATTTTTTTTTAAATTTCATTATCTCTTGGATGGTCTATTTGATCATTATCAATTTGTTGTTCTCCTTTGTGGCTTTATAAAAATAATATTTTTACGTATTTTTACTTTTAAATTATAATTGACAACGACAAATCATAGGCTATGCTAGTCTTTGCAGTATAACTTAATTCAAAATTGGTCGCAAATTTCCTTAATTAACCAAGCATAAGTCGTAATACAGATTATATCAGTGTAGGAGTAATCAGATCGGAAGTCATAAGTTGAATTGGATATAAAATGCAAATATAATATATAAATATAAAATCCAATAGTTCACGTGATGACTCGAATCAAGTGGTTTGTGGTTACCTTTTAAAAAATGGCGGATAAGCGAAACGGTTCATCGTTCACTAACTGAATCTTCGTTAAAAAAAATTTTAAATACTACAGAAGATGAAAAAAAAGCTAGAAAACTTAAATTAAACGTCGAACGTTGTCGAGCCTATAGAAATCACAAGAAAATTGCTAAAGTTTTATCAGTAACTACAATCGGTACTTCTTTTTCGACCTTGGAAGATTTTGAAGGACCATCAGAGACAACAGGAAATATAAATCAGGAAGGTAAGTAATAATACCTAATATGAATATGGTTAATAAATATTACCGTGACTTACCACTGGTGTATGTACGGATATGGAAAACGTCTCGGAGAGCCAAGATATGAAGAAATGATTTTCATAAGAAATAAGAAGTTTCTTATTCGCAGCATTTCAAAAATATTTTATGACAGGCCTCTGGCCAGGCACATATGTCAAAGATGTTAAAATTGAGGGGCTTAGAATCCTAATCCGGCGTCCGTTTGCCGTTCATCGTTCCGTCAAACCAGTAAAATTGAAATATTCTCTGTCATTTTTGAAATAAACCAATAAAACTGGTTAAAAACAACAAGAGACTACGCATGACGGATTTATATTTAAACCCATCCCTAGGTAACTGAAAAAATATTGGAAACTTTTTTTAGTAAAATAAATAGATTGGTATGGGATGTCATCTGCTTTTCTTGTCATCGTCTGTCTTACCTGAGAAAAAAAACAGAGTATACATGTATACATCGATAATCTAATCAAACTGGTAGTTTCGACCTTTAAACCGATATTAATTATTATTACGTTTACTTTCTTATTTTTCAGAATTAATATTAAAAAATTATAGGTACCTACCGTTAAAATCAGACATTTTGTTTCAGATTTATATTTAATTAATAAAGTCCAATGCAAGAAACAACATAATGAAACCACCATCACTAAGTGTCAAGATTTTATATTTATGGTTATTACTTTAGAAAAATAATAAAAACTTTTTGTGACCAAATTTTATTTTTTACATTAATCAAATTTATTTTATTAATGTAATGTAATTAATGTAATTTATGCAATTTATTTTAAAATGTAATTAATGTAATTTATTTTTGCTGCTTACCGCCACAACCTTACATTGCATGGTTTCTGTAACCAAGAAATAAATATCACAGTTCAGTAGTAAACATTATAAGGGTGACCGTAAGGTATCGAATAAGTTCATTTAAAATTAAGGGGTGTGTAAAAAAAAAGTTTTTTTCTTCGACAACCGCCGACTTGTGTCTGGTATTTTCAATACGCCTATGATGGTTGCGCATGTTGCAAAATCTGTGAATTTTTTTATTAACATTTTAAGAAAATACATTGTTTATAACAATTTTTGCTTGTACTAAAACGGTTAATCCCTTTTATACTTTTCAATTTTCCATGCCCTTTTAGAGAAGAATAAAAAACATTATATAAAACTGCGCTTAAATTTTTTCTAAACAATATCTTAATACAAGCAGCATATTATTTATACCGAGCGCGTCTCGAAAGTGGCTCACCCCTATAACTTTTTTTATTTTATTATATAAAAAAACGCTATTTGGTATGTTAGTATATGCATGAATTAGGATTGATTGATGTATTCAATTGTTTTTGGTTACTTCTTGTTTCACCGGAAATAACTACAACTTTTGATTTTTAAATAACACCCTCGGTATTTTTTTTACTTTATTCCATGGAAAATTACATTCTGAATAGAATGACGTATTATATGTCAATTTTTGACCTTTTCGCTTTAAATAATAACTAATTTTTAATCAAGTAGCATATTGGATAAATAGATTTGATCGTCCAATGTTTTTTGCGTCTTGCCCTGGCCAGTTAAAAGATGCCCATTAAGTATTTTTAATCATATTATCTCATTTTCTTTAAATGACACTAGGGTGGCTCATTGGCATATTTAGAAAAATCATTTTTTTACGAATAATTTGGTTTGGTAAATATTAAATTCTCTGTCCTGGCCGGTCAAACCATACTCAAATCGTTTTTTAGTAATTTCTAAATTTCCTCAAATGGTGTGGCTCATTAGCATATTTGGAAAAAGCATTCTTTTACGAATAATTCGGTACCATACACTTGGAATTTCGAGTCAGTTTGTCGTTATGAACCGTATGTTACAATTTCAAATAAACCCTATGCGAAAATGTCAAAAGTTGACGTATGATATGTCATTCTATTCGGAGTGTCATTTTGTATCCAATAAAATAGAAATATATCAAAGGTGCCATTTAAAAATCAGAAGTTGCAGTCATTTCCAGTGAAACAGGAAGTTACCAAAAACAAATGAATACGTAAGTTAATCCTAAATTATGTCATATACTATCGGACATGAGCATAAGATCGGATATGAGCAAGAATCGATTAAGACACTTCTTTTAACAAATCAATCTAAATCTCTCTTATTCTCTAAAATACTATCCTTCCTAACTCTCAATCGTAAACAATAATTAAGAAAAGAAAACACTGACTTTTTCGGTCACCGGCTCATTTCCATTCATTATTAACTTTCGTCAGGGGCGTTATACTAGATATTGACTAACTGTAAACATGATTGATCACCGCCGATGACTGCATTATACTTTTTTAAATAATTAATCCGCATTTCTCTACTGACACCTCCATAGGCGTTCGTCGCACATCAAGATCACAATTATTAAGGTAAGTCAATCGGTACGAGTCACCTCTTATCAGACGTTTGATTTTAGAATTTTATAAAGAATTAAAAAAAAGTTCGGAAATACTTTTATATTTTTGAATATTTGATTAATTTTTATGTTAAAGGGCGGTCCACACGTAACAACTCGTCGTAAGATTTGTTTGCGACAACAAATTTAGAACTGCACTAAGACGGAAAAATGTGTTGAAAGTTTGAGCTCCGTTGCATAGATTTCGGTGGTTTGCACAGACAAGTCATGTGGACGCTCTCGTATC